CAGAACCTCATTCCCTATACACACAGACACACAGATACATATACACACCCAGAACCTCATTCTCTATACACACACACACACACACACCCAGAACCTCATTCCCTAGACACACAGACACATACACACACCCAGAACCTCATTCTCTATACACACTCCTCACAGATACACACACAACACATATACCCACTCATCGCCTGACCTCTTGCCCAGTCTCCAGCCCCTACAAGGCAAAGCCAACCTCCCAGGCTCACATGCAGATGTTGGATAGAGATAACCCTCTCCCCCCAGCTCTCCCCTCACATACCAGCTAAGAGACAGACACGTGTACCCTCCTGGACCAGCCCATCCAGTGTTATCTGCCCCACACGTGATGATGTGGTGGGCACGCCCTGTCTGTGCCTCTCCTTCCCCGTTCCCTCATCTGCTCCAGACCTCCCAGGAAGCCCCAGGCAGGCGGGCCAGCTGGCACTACCTCTGCAGCAGCAGACACATTCTCCCATGTGGGAGCCAAACACCCTTTGCCCTCCAGGGACGTGCCCCTTTGTGCCTGCCCCTCGCTCCTTCCCCAGCCCCTGCCACCCCCAACGAGAAGCTGTTAGTTCCTTAGGCCATTTTGGGCAGGCCGGCGATGGGGGCTACTTTGGGGTCCTGCCTTTATCTCCCCAAGTCTCTCCTCTCTTAGAGAAGATGCTCACCTGCCCCAGAAGGCCCCTCTTTCCTTCGAGTTTATCTCATTCTTTGGAAGGAAGATCTGCCTCTCGCCTTCCTCACACATGGGATGCTTCTGGTGACAGGAAGTCCCCCTCCCCCTCCAACCTCCCCCGCTGGCCCCAGGCCAGGGTAACCCCTCATCTATGGACTGATAGGCCAGCTGAGCTTTCTCCCCACTTCCTCCTCGTGCCATGTTTTTGTTGATACAGTGACACCCTGACACCCCCGTGGTTTGTCATGCCTCACGGAGGCCTGAAGCTAGCAAAGAATGAGGACGTAGACTGAAGCACGGCTGGAGTGGTTGGAGAAGCTAGATGGGGAGCGATTGGCTGTTGGGGAGAACCCAGGTTCTTCTGCTTTTTCCAGGAGATGAGAGCTGCAGATAAACCTCTTGGGGGGAAGGGGTGTGTGAAATAGGCACACGGTAGAGCTGAGGAACTTTGACCCTTTGAGAGGTTAGAAAAGGGAGCGATTATTTCTGGTATTTATAGCCAGAGACACCTCCCTTTGGCTGGAGGGCTGGAGGGCTGGAGGCCTAGCCCGGCCAGCTTGGCCCTTGGCTGTGTCCCCCCCCCCACCCCTTCCCTGCTCTGAGAGTCCCAGGAGAGACAGCAGGAGGCCAGAGGAAAGGGGACTCTGCCCCTGGGCCCCAGGGAGTGCGCCATAGCTGAACCGGCTTCGGGCCTGCGTCCCAGCTTTTCTGTCCATCGTCTTTCCATGCTGTGGCTCCTTTGGCCTTGACCTGACTTGAGGCCTCCTTGTTAGAAGGGCCCTTCATCTTACCTTTTCACCTCCCCAGCAGGCTTTCTGGACCCGTCCTGGTAATCTGGGTGTTGTCTACTTTGCTTTTGTTGTGGAAAACACCCCCAGGAGAGTCCTTCCTGGTGACCAGAGGGACGTTTCAGTGCGGCTGACCTCCTGTGGCCCTCGTCGTGCCCTGGAGGAGTAAGATGTCAGCAGAGAAGCTGTCTGGGAGGCAGGCTAAAGATCCACTGAGGCCCTGCTGGGCCAAAGTTCCTTGGGGGTGGGCTCTCCAAAGCTGGAGAGAGGTAGCCCCAGAAGGGCCGGTAGTGTTCCCAGCTCTGACCTCCATCTGAACAGTGTCACAGCATTCACAGGTGGGAAGACATTAACTAGGTCACCTAGGCAGGCTCCCACGTGACAGGAGGAACTGAGATTTGCCCAGACTTCTCAGGGAAAAGCCTCTTAGCTAGAGATGGCTGTGCTCAGTTGCTAATGAGGGGAAGCTCTCTCACACGCACCTACTGTGTGCTGGCCATGTTACAAATATTGTCTCTGATCCTCACAACAGCCCTTTGAGGGAGGCTCTGTTTTTATTCCCATTTTATCGACGAGGAAACTGAGGCAGGACGAGGTTAAGTGACTTACCTGCCCAGGGTCACACAGATAGCAGTATCTCAGGCTAGATTCCAATACAGGTTGTCCCTCCTCCAGGCATGGCGCTCCCTCCACTGCACCACCTCACTGTGAATGTTTGAGAACTAACAAACATTTCTAAGAGTCTGGAAGGGAGCGAAGGACTCTTGCAGCCCGATGACCTTGTTTTACAGATGAGGACACTGAGGCCCAGAACAGGGCCAGACCAGAGCTGTGGGCAGTGAGGCCCCAGGAGTTCAGAGTGGCAGAGGCATGGTCATGTTGGCAGTGGACAGGGCTCCCTGGTTAGAGGGATGACCCCGTGGCCTTAGGGAGTGGTGGGGAGAGTGGGTTAGCTGAAGCTGGAGAGGAGTGAGTGGTGGGCAGCGAGGAAGGAGGAGCCAGGTGGGGAAGGCCCTCCCAGGATGAGACGGCCTCTACTCTCCATAGCATTTTGAGGTTTACAAAGCGCTTCTTTCCTCCCAACCCTATGAGCTGGGGGTACAGATGTTATTCCCATTTTATAGGTGAGGAAGTGAGGCTTTCAGTGGAAAGGGCTCGGGCCGGAGCCCAGGATGCCACCTTCAGGCTCTCCAAGCACTGCCTCCATGCTGCGCAGGGGGAAATGTCCTCCCTCTGAGCTGTCCAGAAGGACCAGTGAGCATAGCGATCGGCCAGAGGGGGGAAGGGCCAGGCCAGCTGGGCTGACGCATGGCCGGGATCACGGATGTGGGCCTGGAAGAGGTGCCCAGCTTCCCTGGCCTCTCCTTTCTCCGTTACCTCCAGGCCTCATTTCCTCCCCTGCATCAGATTGCTGGGCTCTCCCTCATTCCCCTGGGTGCCTGCTTCCTGCAAGGGCAACTGGGGCTTCTGGGACCCAGGGAACATCTGGAGCAGCTGTGGATGCCAGAGGTTATTTCTGTATTGTTGGCCCGTGTTTCCTCCCCACCCCCTCAGGGGTGGCCCAGTCAGTGTCCTGCAGACTTCCTAGGAAGGCTGTGCTGATTGAGGGGGAAAAGGAGGGTCTCTGAAGAGCAGGCTAAAGCACCTTCCTCTTCTGGCCCCCCCCGTACCGTCATGCCCACGAGATGGGCTCAGGTCTCGGCTGCACGGCTGGAATGAGACAGCCGCAGATGATGAGGGAGGCTGCTGGGCCTCCCCTTTCCCTTCCCTCTGCTCTGCTCCCCTCTCCAGCCTTAGAAGAAAAGCGGGTTTGGCGGCCATGTGGGTGTTAGCTGGCTCCTTTTGCTGCAGCAGGCTGGAAGAGCCGGTCCCAAGCTGTGTCTCTTTCAGGGCCCGCTTGGTAGGAAAGGGGGCTGGCTTGCCAGCTGTTGCACTCATAGGCTGCCTTGGCTGGCCAGTCCTGAGCTGTGGGAATGAGATAAGGCCGGCCAGACCTGTTTGGGGTTTTGTCTTCCCAGAGTTGGATACCAGGCCTCCATCCAGACAGTCAGTGGCACCTGGCTCAAGGCCAGGATCCCAAGTAGGGGAGAGAAGCTGCCCAGGGTAAGCCTCTTTGGGGGCCAGAGCCACTGGATAGGACAAAGCCTCCCCACAGCCTCCCTGAGGACCGGAAGAGCCCCCAAGAAGTCCTATGCGTTTAGCCATTCATCTCACGCCTGTTTACGGAGCATCTGTCCTATATGGAGTTCCGTGGTCTGGGTTATGGGACACACAGAGACAAATGAGAGGCCAGCCTCTTGCGCGCAGTCTAGTGAGGGAGATAAGACCTGTGGCCAAATAACCGATAAAATGGGGAGAAAGAGCTCTGTGTGGGAGAGGGGTCCAGTGTCATGGGGGGCGGGGTTCAGGGGAGTAAAAGATAGATAGCATTTGGCTGCAGGAGGATCAGAGCAGCCTCTTCTAGGATGTGAGATCTGAGCCTTGGAAAAGGGGTCAGATTTCAGCAGGTGGAGACGGAGGAGCTCGGGAAGGGGTGGCCCTTCCTCCCTCCCCCTATTATTGGTGCCTTCATTTACCCCCTCATTATATAACTTCATTTAGAAACGATGCCTTAAAAAAAATCCCTCATCTCCTCCTGCCAGCACTTGAACTGTGCCTTATAACAAGTAAAAACTAATGACTGATAACACAGTGTGCGCCGTTCTGCCCCTTGGGCCGCCCCCTCATTCTCTGACTGTCTAATGGAGATGGGTCGGTGCATTTCAGCGGACTTCAGGCCTTTGACGGCTGGGTCTGTTTCCATGATTCAGGAACATAGATTCTTTTGGCCCTCTGTTCGTTCCTCTACCTCACTTTACAAAAATCTTCCCAGAATTCCTCATTCACCATTCATGACTCAATAATATCCTGTCATGTTCCTTCACCCATTCCTCAATCTGTCCACTTGTTACCATAAGGAGTACCACGATATTTTACTGTCCATGTGTGGGATCTTTCTTGACATCATTGACTTTCTTGCCTTTTTTTGAGGGGGAGAGCTGTGAGTTGAAACCCCTCAGTCAC